GTTTTTTCAGAAGTAGATCACGGGGTCTTTCTTCCTAATCTGTTTTAGTCTGGAAGCTCTGCTGAAAATGGTCCACCTTGGGTAACTCTGCTAGTATTTGAAATACCAGTGGCCTAGCTCCCAGCATTGATGGGAATTTATAACATTGACAGGTATTGACTATGCTGCTGTTGGGTGACTGTGCTAGTAATACCAAAAGGGGAACAGGCTTTGGTAGAGATGTTACCAGATTGATTTTGGACAGTAAGATTTTGTCAAAGACATTGCTAGCCAGGCATTTGGTTTAAGGACACGGGAATAAGCAAAGGACCGTTTCGAGAAGTCAAGAGAGGATCAGTGCCATGGCAAGCCTATATGGTACCTTTGGACAAGTTGTACCAACCAGACCAAGTAGAAAATGGCAACCTTTCTTCATAATAGACTCAACCACATCACTTGGCAAGGGGCCTGGGCTGGATTTTAGCCCCCACTTTCCCATTGGCTGGGCGCCTATGTACAGTGCACAGATTGGATGACCATACACAAAAGCCTTGGGTCTTAATTGGTTTAGGGATATTCCCAAAGGCTCAACCCATTGTTCATCATGGTAAAGGATGAACAGAAAGAGGCTAGAGGCTTGAATAGGGAGAAAATCCAGTCTTTACAAAAAGGTTTAGTGGTTAGGCCTTTCTAGTGGATTACATTGCATCTGTGTTGTCTGTGAAAACAAATAAATCTTGCATGTTACCTCAAGGCATTGTGAGGATTAAAGGAGACCATGTGTATGAAGTCTCGGTGGCATCCCTGTATACTGCATGGCACTAGACCTAGCATGTAGGAGGTACTACCAAATGGTAAAAAGAATGATGAAGGTAAAAGGAAGCAGTAAGTGATGGTAAACTGACTGTGTACTTGTTATACCTAATGATTAGTGAGAATGATGAAGTATTAAATGCCCAGGGAGGGAAGTGGCAAAGGAAGGGAGTGGGACAAGAAAAGATGGCAAATGAAAAAAGTATTGACCAGAGAATTCTGTTGTGGCATGGGGTCCTTAGAGCTTGGCCATGTTGGAGTATGTCTAGTGTGGGAGGTAAACTTGGAGTTGAGGAACCAAAAATGGCTATTGGTACCTGAGATGAGTAATATGGCAAGTAATCAGTCCTTAGCTTATGTTATGGTTTGGGAAAAATGAGGCAAAGAGAAGAATATCATCCAGGGAGGAGGTAATGGTTATTGTGAAGGGCTTGGTAATAGTAGCAATGATTTGAACAAATAAAAGAAGTATTATGAAGGATAATGTGGAATTCCAGTGTCAAGAAACATGAAGATGCTAAGACGGGCATCCTAAAGTCCTCTTTCTGTTCCCTTTTCCCGCCTCAGTAAGTCTGGATGAAGACTGAGTAGAAGTGAAGGTTTCATTATTATTTTATTTTGACAGTGTTCCCTCCCCTCTCCTCCCCTCCCTGGTAACCAACAAAGAAAGTTTCCTTCCTTATATAAACCTTTCCTTGACTTTTTATAACAATGAACTAATACAATAGAGAGGTGGAAGTTTTTTTGAGGGAGCATAATAAATGATGTGTTTTAAGGGATAGTCTAGGTTTCATCTGGGACAAAGAATAGCAGGAAGAGATGCGCCATAAATTAATATGTCAGTGTCTGCCTCTGAGACGTTTGATAGCTTGGTTGATTAGTTGATGAAGAAAACACCAGCTTTGGCCTAACTGTATTAGATGTTTGAGATCTCAAGAGCCTGTACAGTAGCGGAGGAGTTTAGGCACCTCAAGACACATGCTTCTAGCTCCTTACGTTCCAACTATGGAAAAAAGCTTCTTTCCATGTGACAAATCATTCCAAGTCTGAATGATCCAAAGTGGTGGGCAAGTGAGCCAGAGCTAGGATAATCAGACAGACTCAGTGGAGACTTGGGAAGGACCAGTAAGATGAGCCCGGCACTTTGTATTTCATAAGAATCTTTTACACACCGCATCTCACTTAATCCTTATGACGACTCTGTGTGGTAAATGAAATCACCTACATTGTACAGATGACAAAATCGAGGCACAGAAGTTTCTAGAATGAATTGGAACTATTCACACTATGAATTGATTCTTGTGAGTTGTTCCCTCTTTAGTTGTCTGTGGCTGTCTGTAGCCTTCAGTTGAAACAAATTGAGGCTGACTTGGTCACCCTGCTTCACAGCCAGTTGTTGAGGCTTTGATGCATTTTTCTCTTTGGTGTTGGAGGTGAGGCCTCCATCTCAGGCTCAGTTGAAGGTCCTACAGGGGAAGTCATCTCTGCCTCCCCAGGACCCTGAGACTCCCGAGGTATGAGCAAGATGTGGGGTGGTAGAGCACTGATGACAGTGTGTACACATGAGTGTGTGTGTTTGTGTGCACACAGTGTGAATGTCTGGGAGGACTGTGGAATCAGTTTGTTTACTCTGTGGCCACATATATGCACGTTTGTGTCTGTGTGGGCCTCTAAAGGTTCAGGGGAAGAAGAATTGAAAAAGAGAGGGTTTTTTCTTATTCTGTGTCCCTGCTCTCCCATTTCTTCCTCTTTCTCTGTTTTCTCTCTCACTTCTTTTTATCCTGCTCTTTCCCTGTGAACTTGGTTGGCTGTCTTAGTTCTCTAGTGCTGCTATAACAGAAATACCACAAGTGGATGTCTTTAACAAACAGGAATTTATTTTCTCACGGTTGAGGAGGCTAGAAGTCTGGATTCAGGCTGCTGGCTCTAGGGGAAGGCTCTCTCTGTTGGCTCTGGAGGAAGGTCTTGTTTCTTTGAGCTTCTTCTGCTCCTAGGTGATTTTCATAAGGCTTGGCATCTCTCTTTCCCCATCTCTGCTTCTTTAGCTTGCTTGTTTAATCTCTTTGATATCTCAAAAGAGGTTGACTCAAGATACACACCGTACATTAATCCTGCCTTGGGAGCTCTGGTGGCACAGTGGTTAAAATGTTCAGCTGCTAACCAAGAGGTCAGTGGTTTGAACTTACTAGCCACTTCATGGGAGAAAAATGAGGCAGTCTGTTTCTATAAAGATTTATAGCCTTGGAAATCCTATGGGCCAGTTCTACTCTGTCCTTTAGGGTCACTGAATTGGAATTGACTCAATGGCAGTGGGTTTGTATTTTATTTTGGAATCCTGTCTCATTAAGATACCAAAGACAACCCATTCCCAAATGGGATTACAACCACAGGCATAGAGGTTAGAATTTACAACACATATTTTGGGGGGACATAATTCAATCTGTAACAGGGGCACTATGATTATTAAGTCACCTGGCTCAGGACTCATCACTCAGCTTCAGCCCATGTTCCTCTGTGTCTGAGGGCAGAGAACAGAACTCCCTTGTGGCAGGGACCGTAACCTCAAGTCATACTGAGCAGCAGTTAGCTGCTGTATAATCCACAGTACTTCTGCTGATAGTGGCAGGGCTGGGTGGTGGGTAGGTGGGTGGGGTAGGGTGGACAGAGTTTGGTGTAGCCTCAACTTTGAGCCCCCTGTTTCTGGCACCATCATGACTAGGTGGGGACCGGGCACATCATGAGACTATAGACAAAGGCTTGTTTTGGCAGTAAAGGTAGAGCTTAGTTAGGGGAAACCGAGGAAAGTAGTATTACATGAGCAGCAGCCCAGGGGTCAGCATGTCTGTCTCCTTTCTGCCTTGTCAGGTGAGAAGAAGGAAGGCTGGTCATGGGAGTCCTACCTAGAAGAGCAGAAGGCTATCACTGCCCCCATCAGCCTCTTCCAGGACGTGAGTTGGATAATTTCCACCTAGGAGGAACTTGTCTTCCCAGCCCAGGGACTCAGCACCAAACTCAGGTCTTCTGGGATTTTCTGTGTCTGACATCCCTCATAGACTGGCAGAATGGAAGGGGGGCAGCTTGTTTATGGAGCCAGAGTAGAGATGGCACACTATAAGGGGCTTTTGGGCTGGGAAGGAACACAGAGTTGGAACCCAGGCTCACCCCTGTCACTGGGTCTTTTGAATTCTGGTGCCTTCTATTCTCAACTCTGTACACTGATTTTTTTTTTTTTTTTTTTATGGTTGATTGTTCTAGGAAATGTATACCTCTCTAGTAGTATTTTTTTTCCTCCTCAAAACCTAGTATATTGTTCACCTTATAGGCTTGTCTATTATTTGTCCATAGAATTTTTAATAACTGATTTTTTAAAATTTATTTTTTACTGTGATTTGGGTGAAGATTTACAGAGCAAATTCGCTTTCCATACAGCAGTTCACATACACTTTGTCTCATGACATTGACCACAATTTACAACAATGCAATAGCTCCCCTCCCACTTCCTCCTGATAATTACCTCTTCCCTGTGTCCATCCCTCCATGCTCTCCTGCCCCTTGAGCTGTCTCCCGCTGCATAAGCAGCCCTTTTTTTCCCATGATTGTTCTCTCCAAGGAGTGTATCTACCTCAGGTACATGTTCAACTCATATGCCTGTCTTATGCTTGGCTGGAAGCCACAGGTGTGGGTTCAATTCCAGACCTGACAGGCAGCTAGGGGCCATAGTCTCAGTGGTTCTACCAGGCTCTATTGGACCAAGAAACCTGGTCCCCCCACCTTTTTTTTTCTCCAAATGATTTTGAGTTTTGTCCACATTGTTCTCTCTCTCTATCTAGGATCTCCTACATAGATCCCTTTCCAAGTGGTTGACATTGGTAGTCGGGCACCATCTAGTTCTTCTGGTTTCATAGTCAAATAGGCTATAAATTGGATGATGTACCAATCACTAGGACTGATTGTATCCATGAATTTTTGGTTTTCTTCATTCTTCTTTGCTCTGGATGAGGAGAGACCCATCGTTGCATTTAGATGGCAGCTTGCAAGCTTTTAAGATCCCAGTCACTACTCGCCAAAGTAGGAGATGGAACAATGTTTTGTGTAGTATGTTATGCCAGTTGAGCTTGATGTCCTCTGTGACTATGGTTCCGAGCCCACAGGTTGAATTATTTGGTCCCTCTGGGTAGCTGGCTGTGACCAAGCAGTGACTACCACCTTGCCTCTTGTCAGCTCTACTATACACCTGGGAATTCAGATCATACACATAAACTTATAGGACCGTTGTCTGCCAACTCTATACACGTTCTTGGATACACTCCCCACTTCATAGACATACCTACTAATTCAGCCTGTCCACCCATCTGTGTACCCATATACGCATGTTTGCCTTCACTGATAACGCAGTATTGTATGTGTAAAAGGGTTCATCTTTGTTGTCTGTACCTCCCACGTACCTCTCTATGTCTTTCTCTTCCTCGATGCCACCATATTGATCACTCACATTTGGTACATTGCCCTTCTCTTCACCCAAATCAATACTTACCTCTATCCATCTAACAGTATACACTGATCTTTTCATTACTTGGGAAAGAGGGGGCCCTTATGTCCATTCCTGACTCAGCCTACATTTTTCAAGGGATCTGGGAGCTATTCTGTCCCTCTCTGCATCCCTATATTAAGGGTCCCCAAGTAAGCTAACTCCTTGGTAGTACCAGGCGGGTGGGGCCTAAAGGCAGCTCCTTCACCCCAAGCCCACTAGGCAAGGATAAGACTGGATGGAAGCTGTGTCCTCTCCAATCTGTGCATTGACAGTACCAGGCAGTCACTCATAATAAGAATGGCTTCAAACTGGGCATGAAGTTGGAAGGCATTGACCCTCAACACCCGTCCATGTACTTCATCCTCACTGTGGCTGAGGTGAGCTGAGTGTTGGTACTACAGGGGTAGTTTCTCTGAAACTTTATGACATCAGATCATATCATGTATGATAGATGATAAAGTCTGTTGGGGCCATGGAGAGCATTGACTCAGATAAGGGAAACAGTGCCCTGCTCTTGCAAAGTATAGTTTAGTAGGGGATACAAGGAAAGCTAAAATGTGAAGAAATAACAGATGAAGTGTTGTGGGGTGGTGCAATTAGTGAAGGAGTATATATTAGTGCTAGGGGAGCCTAAGGAGGAGAGATCCCAAGGCCTGGGAATGTTGGCAAGAGCCAGCCAAGGTCCTTTCCCTCTAGGAGCTCACTGTTAGGTAGGGAACCAGCCAGATAACCATTGGTGACATACCACAAGGCTGGTGACAGATGTGAGCAGGAATAGCACAGGGAAAGAGTGGTTAGTTCTGCCAGAGAAGGTGGGAAAGCTTTCTACAAGAAGAGCCTCCTTTATGAGTCTTAAGAGTTGAGTTAGGCATGAGCAGGGCATTCCAGGCAGAAGCAGCCAAGTGGGCTTTAGGGCATGGACCAGGCTACCATGTTCAAGAAACTGCCATGAGCTCAGTGAGGTGAAAGCACAGTGTGTGCACGGGGAGCAGTGAGATAAGGTGGCAGAAGGAAAGATTGTCAGGGGCTCTAAGCAGGCCCAAGGCTTAGTAGGTACCTTTGGGGTTCTGTCCAAGGCTGGAAAGGGCAGGAAGATGTCATAGACCCTGAACTCAGGGCTTACAAGTACATGAGGAATTGGGTGATGTCTTCATTGTTAGATGGGAGGGAGTGGGGCAAAGTTCAAGACAGGGGAAAGCTGTGAGTGAAGAAGGGTGGAGATGGGGAGCCTGGTAGCTTTATAGCCCTTTAGACCACCACACTGAGCCAGGAGAAGTGAGGGGTAGGGAGTGGGGCATGTGCCGGCATTGGAGTCCCTGTGATTCCCCCTCATGGGGCCAGGTGTGTGGTTACCGCCTACGTCTACACTTTGATGGGTATTCCGAGTGCCATGACTTCTGGATCAATGCCAACTCCCCTGACATTCACCCTGCTGGCTGGTTTGAGAAGACCGGGCACAAACTGCAGCCCCCGAAAGGTAAGGCCTAGCCAAAGTTGGTCATGGTGAGGCAGCAAGTCCTCAGATCCCACCCTTGGTCCCCCCTACTTCCAGCTCTGTGCTTTCTGATTCCTGTTGGCCAATCCAAAACCAGCCTGTTTTTCATTGTATGCTGATAGCACACTGCCCCAGGACTGAGTTGACCAGAAGTCCCAGGGCTTCTGCTTTGGCCTTGCCCTTTGAGTATCCACCCAGGTCATGCCCTGCTTTCAGGGCAGATTCTTGAAAAGTTGTGGGGTCCTTGGCCTGATTCTGCCGCTTCAGCATGGGGTGCCCTCCCCGTAGCCCAGCCTCTGTCTGCACGGCGCTCTGTTTGTCCCCCCCGAGGGGCCTAGGTTACAAGGAGGAGGAGTTCAGCTGGAGCCAGTACCTGCGCAGCACAAGAGCTCAGGCTGCCCCCAAGCACCTGTTTGTGAGCCAGAGCCACGTGAGTGCCCCTGAGCAAGTGATATCAACCCCCTGGGACAGAGTCCCTGTACCGGCCTCTCCCAGGGTGTCTGACTCAGCAGCTCAAGTTCTCAGCTTTGTTATGATCCCTCACGTCAAGTGTGAACGCAGCTTGGCAGGGACAAGGGCCATAGGGGGCAGCTGGTTATAGGTTTTTCCTCAGTTCCCTCCTTCCTTCCCTATTGCAGAAATCCTCTCCTCAACATACCACCTCAGAACCCCTGGTTATATCGGCCTGGCCGTGAGACGTTATTGTTCACGTTTCCTTGCTTGGTTTGCTCTGCTGTGAAGATCAAAGTCTCTATTCTGGGAGCTTCTTTTGAACAACGCTGAAGCTCTTGCATTCATTCCCAACAGCTCACCTCTTGTCTTTCTCTGTTCAAAGCAGCTGGCAGCTTTTTCCAGCAGTAAAGGTGTTCCCCATTAGAAATACTAATGTATCAAAAATCTACCGGCCCTTTAGGCTAAGGGTTCTCCATGCTGTACGTTGTTGTTGTTGTTGTTGTTGTTATGTGCCGTCGAGTCAGCCCTGTCTCATAGCGACCCCTCCTTGGGTTTCCGAGGCAGTATCACTACGGAAGTAGGATTGCCCAACCTTCCTTCCGAAGGAATGGCTGGTGGGTTTGAACCACTAGCCTTCTGGTTAGCAGTCAAGTGCAGGGGTAATTGCTTCCCCACCCCAAACTGCCCCAGAGGTCATATTTGTAGGTTCTTAAGTGGTTGGGATAGGGTCCCACCCACTGTTGTGACAGGGAATGCATACTTTCAAGTCAAACTGTTCAAACCCTGGCCATACCACTGACTAGCATATGGTCCTGGGCAAGTTAATTAACTTATAAAATGGTAGTGATAACACCTATCTCAGTGTTATTGTAAAGATCAAGTAAAGTGATGGTTTTGGAAGCTTGTTCCCAGTACGTGGCAGATGCCCAGTTATTACTGGTCTCCTCCCCCTGCCCTGTTGCACGTGTCCACTTCTTCCTTCCCTACCACCCACTGTTGAGCCAACTGTCCCAGCCCAGGCTAGGCCAGGCCTGTCCAGGTAGAGGAAGACTTGTGCTCTGCCTGCCACCCTGGGTGAATGACTAGCTTTCAGCCAGTTGCTTTTCTTCGGTCATGGTGAGGCTTCCTCTGAGTGTACTTTGATGGGCATAAGTTCCCGCCCTGAATGTCCCCTCTCTTCCCAGCCTATTCTCCCCTCTCCTCCCCCATGCCTCCATCCTGTTGTGGCTTCTCCCCTGTTCCTCCTTTGCCAGTGAGCTCTGGGCTACTGCTGGCTGTGGTAACTGGCCCCCACTTCTTAAAGTTTTGTTTCTATCTTTTTAATATTTTATTTTGTTGTCATTGAGAATATAACAGCCAGATACGCACCCATTCAACCTTTTCTATGTGCACCAGTCAGTGGCACTGATTACCGTCTTGGAGTCGTATGACCCTCCTTTTCTCAATTGTTCCTCCCCCATGAACATAACACACTGGCTCCCTAAGGTTCCTATCTAATCTTTGGAGTCGCAGCCCCTCTTCTTGCCCCCAGAGTCCCCCACCCCTGGGCTTCCAGGTGGGCATGAAGTTGGAGGCTGTGGACCGCATGAACCCATCCCTCGTCTGTGTGGCCAGTGTGACCGACATAGTGGACAGCCGCTTCCTAGTGCACTTTGACAACTGGGACGATACTTACGACTACTGGTAGTAAGAGGGCCCAGATTTGAGTTGGGGTGTGAGGGATGGCTGGAGTGAGGGCAGCTACTTTCAAATCTCAGATACCATGTGACCTTGGCCCAGTCCTGACATTCATTTCTTGCCTTGGGGGGGGGGGATGTGGGTGGCATCGTTGACTGTCCTGTGGACTTAATATATATCATAAGAAAAGCTTAATATTAAGCATTTCATCTGAAAATAGCAAGGTTCCGATAAGCAACCTCTGTGACTTATCCCCTGAGACATTTTGGTGGTATCAGGAGTTTTCAGTTAATGCTGCAGTCTTCCAACTTTCTAGTCACACGTCTTAGTCTGTCACTAAGAAGTTAGGTGAGGGTGACCCCTGAAGCAAACTGTTGTAGGATGGTAGGCCCAGAGCCTCAGAGGTTCACCTGGGACAGTGAAGTGTTCTTGGTTTCAGGTGTGATCCCAGCAGCCCTTACATCCACCCAGTGGGCTGGTGCCAGAAGCAAGGAAAACCCCTCACCCCTCCACAAGGTGACCCTGTAGCCTGAGCAGATGCCCTTTTCCAGGCCTGGCCCTGCCATCCACCCCTCTCGCCTGATCCTTTACCAATCCTTCTTTATCTGGGGGTTTAGCATGGAGTGAGAGGACACATATGTCCTGGAGCCTCAGCTTCTTTGCCTGGGAGTTGAGAACGCCTTATCTATTGAGGGATTATTTTAGGAGAGTCCTGTCAAACTTTGGCCCCATTGAGGTTTAAGGGAAGAAAGTTAGATGACCACTTCAGCAAGGAAGCAGGCAGTCCACAGCTAAGAAAGGTGTACACCTCCTTACAGGAGTGTTACATGTATGGTACAAGTATGACAGGCTAAGATGGGGCTGGGGCTGGAGTGGGAGCAGCAAGGCCAGGATGGGTAATGGGAGCCAGGGTTCCTAGCCAGCCCTGTGAACTGTTGGGGTGGTGATGCTGCTTGTTTCTGTTTAGGGCCCAGTGCATGGAGCTGGCTGTGGTAGTGGGGAAGGGGAGAGTACTCCAGGGGCCTCCACCCTTCCTTGTTCCTGGTCCTGCTTGGAGGCACAGAGCTCCCCTAGCAGCACAGCAGCACCTGAGTGGCTAGACATTTTTCTCGTCTTCTCCTCCAGACTACCCAGACCCTGATAGCTTCTGTTGGGAGAAGTATCTGGAAGAAACCGGGGCATCTGCTGTGCCCACTTGGGCCTTCAAGGTGGTGAGTTAACTCTCTTTTTCCTTAGAACTGAGCTCAGGAAGACCAGTGCACTGAGGCAGCCAGGATGGGACCCTGGTCTCTCCCTTGGGACAGACCACAGACAGAACACGTGGGTTCCTCCCCTCTTGACCTGGGCATTGGCCTGAAGACACCTGTCTCCCTGCAGCGACCTCCTCACAACTTCCTGGTCAACATGAAGCTGGAGGCTGTGGACCGCAGGAACCCTGCTCTGATTCGTGTGGCCAGCGTGGAGGATGTGGAGGATCACCGGATAAAGGTGGCCCTGGGATCCAGGCGCAGGGGAAGTGGCCAGTTGGGAAGGAAACCTATAAACTGGTTAGAAAGGAAGGACCAGCGTGAGGCAGACATAAGGAAGGCTGCACATTGTGGGGAAAGGAGCTTTAAACTGGAGGCTGAAGACTTGATTCTTGTGTTAGCCTCATCTCTGACCTGCTTTTGTGGGTACAGACAACTCATTTCCCATCTCTGAGCCTTAACTTTTACATCTGTATAATGAGGCTAACGATCCTTGTCTGTCTTGCTCAAAGGTTAATGGGAGATGCCAGTAATTTAATGAACGAAACCCTTAGAAAATATGGCAGCTGAGAGGGATTATTGTGAGGTGGGCACCTTGGTTCTCCCAATCTAGGATCTTGCTTCTGACAGGCCCCAGGGATGGGGAGAGCCTCCTGGAGCCTGGGGGAGCTCCCGGCTAAGCTGGACTCCACAAGGAACATCTAACCTCCAGAGGCCTTTCCTTCTCAGCTCCACTTTGATGGCTGGAGCCATGCTTATGACTTCTGGATTGATGCCGACCACCCAGACATCCACCCTGCAGGCTGGTGCTCCAAGACAGGACATGGCCTGCAACCTCCTCTCCGTGTGTACCCTTAGGGCACTTTGCCCCTTTCCCACTGACATCTGACATCCTCCCCACCTCCTAGCACTGGTCATTCTCCCTTCCTTATAGCTTGCCCAGGGGGCTCTGGCGCCCACAGTGAGCTCTGGCACATCCTCTCCTCCTCACCCTAGGGGGCCCTCTGTCTCCCCTAGTTGTCTGGTTTGGGGGATTGAGGTGCAAAAGAGCAAGCTCACTGGGGACATGTGCTGAGAAGTTCTCTCAGCATCCAGCAGAGTCACATGGAGCATGCATTGTGTTTGCTAGGAAATGCTGGCTCCCTTCAGTAAAATTCTGGTCCTCTGCCTGGGCAGGGATAAGGGTTCTCGTCATTGGAATGTTCAGTCTTGGTTATCACAGTCAGGTTCCCCCCTCCTTATTTTCCCCCTGTTGCCCTCTTTGTCTCACATGGATGTTGATCCTCTGTGATGTTCTCCAAGTATAGGCAGAACCGAGAAAAAAAAAAAAGCGTTTGGAAAATGAAAATGGGAGAACAAACAGAGAGACATATGAATCTGCCTGATGTGGTTTCTTAGTGACAGCTGTGCTTCTACCAGCTCTGGATTGATCTCCTTGGGGCAGAGACCAAGGGCATGGCCTGTGTATGAGAACCACCAGGTCCTCATTCCTGAAAGAGGGGCCAATACCAAGTAGCAGGAAATGGTGCACAGCCTAGCACAGGACCCCTGTACATGGGGACCTAAGTTTCCTCCTGGAAACTTCCTTCCTTGCCCTCTATTCTCCCCACCCCCAAAATCCTCTGCTGACTTTTCTTTCTGCTTCTTCAGGACCCAGAGAGCCCAGCTCTGCTTCCCCTGGAGGCTGTCCCCCTCTTGGCTATAAGAGCCTGCCACACACTAGGACCTCAAAGTACAGCTTTCATCACCGGTGAGTGAAGGGGCTCCTGCTCAGAGACCCATAGGTATTGTTCAGGGAGGGTCTGTTTTGCATCTACTGTGTGCCAGCTGATCAGGGTTCACTGACACACTCTGAGTGGGGCCACAGTTGGGAAGAGAGGGCTCAGTGGGGACAGGTGCATCCAGCCCAATTGATGCTGTCCTTCTTCTCCAGGAAGTGCCCTACTCCTGGTTGTGATGGCTCTGGCCACGTCACAGGCAAGTTCACAGCTCACCATTGCCTCTCAGGCTGCCCGCTGGCTGAGAGGAACCAGAGCCGGCTGAAAGCAGAGCTGTCCGACTCAGAGGCCTCGGCCCGTAAGAGGAACCTCTCAGGCTTTTCCCCAAGGAAGAAGCCTCGCCATCACGGCCGGTGCGGAGGGCATGGAGTCAGGGCCTGGGCTTCCCTGGGTTCAGGGCCTCGTGTATTCTTAGGCAAGACTAGGCACTGAATCCCTGCCGTGGACCTGGTCCCTTTCTCTCCAGGATTGGACGTCCTCCAAAGTATCGGAAGATCCCACAGGAAGATTTTCAGAGTAAGTCCCAGGTCATCTACTTCCCTGTCCTCCACAATGTGTTCACAGTGGATGCTCAGTAATTGATGGGATGAATGAGCAGAGGAGCCCAGAGGGGGAAAAGATGGATGGAGGCTGCCTCTTCATTTGAGATACTTTGGGAGGTTGAACGGTGACAAGAGTGTGGTTTCTAAGGTACAGCTGTGCACCTACCAGTTTGTGGTTGAGCCCCTTGAGGATTCTCTCTTAGAGACCAAAGGCATGGCTGTGGGTTTCCGCAAAGTATTTGAGAACCAAGTTCATCTCCGGCCTTGCTGGAGTCTGCGGGAAAAATGCAGGGCCTCTCTGGGCCTCTGGTTCTCCACTGTGAAATGGGTTGATGCATCCTGGCTATGCTGTTCTCTGATTCTAGGATTCCTGGGTGGAGGCCATTGTGACCTTGGGCAAGTCAGGGAACATCTCTGAGCCTTAGTTTCTTTGTTTGCAAACATAGATAATCCTTGCCTTTCAAGTACCAACTACCTGAAATAATAATAGTTACTGCTACTGTTTACTGAGCACCTGCTATAGGCCAGGCACTGTGCTGGATGCTTTACATACACTTTGCCTCTCACAAGCATCCTGTAATGGTGGATGTTTTCTTTGACTTCATGATGAGGAATGTGGGACTCAGCTTGTGAAGTCACTTGCCCAAGGTCACTCGACTTGTAAAGGGCAGAGCTGGTATTCAAAGTCAGGTCTGACTTCTCCTGCTACATGTTGCTGGAACATTAAGTCCCCAGGCTGTGAACATCTGATTTATGGACAATTCGTACTTGCGCTTTAGTGTTATGTAAATTTGCCCTCACTTCAAAAGGATTGAACCAACCCCTGCACGCAATAAGTTCTTCATCACAGTCGCCTTCACTTACTGCATGTGTAGCTTTCAAATCACTGAAAAGGCTTCAAGCCTTTTCTTGCACTAAAACCAAAACCCACTGCCATCAAGTTGATTCTGACTCATAACAACCCTATAAGACAGAGTAGAACTAGCCCATAGAATTTCCAAGATTTCTGTAAATCTTTACAGAAGCAGATTGCCTCATCTTCCTCCCACGGAGCAGCTGGTAAGTTTGAATCACTGACCTTTGGGTTAGCAGCTGAGCGCTTAATCACTGCACCACGAGTAATCCTGTCTTGTACTAAAGAAGGTTGAATAAGAACTGTATGCACCTGTTTGACTTACCTACCAATTTGATTTAAAGACACACTTAGGAACTGATCTCATTTGTAACACAGGGACTGCCTGTATTTTAGACATAAGGCACCCAACCCAAATATGAGGTTACTTCTCATCCCCTTCAAGAGAAGGTGATCCCTCCCCAGGGTGTTGATCTTATCTTGTGTCTTCACCTGCTTAGCGTAGACCTGACAGGAGCGGGGTCACTGGGAATCTTGCCTTGGTTTAATTGAATGCACATCTTTTTAAGGCTGGAAGAGAAGTAATTTGGTTCATTGCACAGTTTCTGGGTAAGGCCCAAGCTATTCCAGTAGCCTGAGCAATATATAGTATAGTGATTGAGAGCATAGCCTTTTATAGGCTGTGAGACCTTGGGCAAGTGACTGCACCTCTCCGGCCTCAGCTTCTTCATCAGTAAAATACAGATAATAATAGGACCTATCTCATAAGGTGGTGGAGAGGCTTAAAGGAGATGATCCACATAAAATCCCTAGCACAGCTGCTTGCTGGAATTATTATTCTAATCTCTTGTCTGACTCCTCTTGCTGAACTTCCATATTGTTTCCCTTTGGTGGAAATAGGCAATTCCTGCAGCCCTAGGCCTGAGTGGTGAAGGTTTTGGCCTGTTTCCATGCCCCTCAAAGTGAGGATTCCTGGTACCTCTCCTACTTGACCTTGGCATTGGGTAGGCTTCCATTGCAGGGCAAAGTTCTCATCACCAGAGGGCACTTGCCTACAATGTTCATTCCAGAATCATGCTGTGGAACTGTTGGGAAGTTAAATCTTTCCAGAGGCTGAGGCTGTGGCCCAGAGAGAATGAGGAAGGACTTGCCCAAGACCTCGAGGCACTTCAGGGGCAGAACAGGGGAAAGAGTCCAGGTCTGCGAGGGCTCTTCTGCTCCACCAGCTTACCTCTTGCACAGAGGGAACACTGTTCACTGTGTTCTATTCCAGAGATGTGTTCTCACACATCTGGGGTAGACCCCTCAGTATAGGCTCCAGGGTTTGCTGGGAAACAGCTCCAAAGGGAAGGCTGCTTAGAGAGGGCAGGGCTCACCCTGCTCATAGAGTCAGTCAAGCCACATAGGGTCAGCCGTTTGAAAGAACAGATGTTTCTGACCTGCAGCTAGATGGTTGGCTGCCTCTGAGAGCTCTGTCCTATGCCCTGGGGAAGATAGATAAGGAAGGAATCTGCCTACACACTTGTTCCCCAGCAACTCAAACCCCCACCAAGTTAAATGGTGGACCAGATACAGGGCTTCAAAGAAGGAACACCCTGAGGGGAGGCCAGACTTGTTAATGATGGAGACACTCATGGGAGACCCTGGTTGCCTCCCAGCCTGGTCATGGGAGGAGCTGATCTGAGCTGTGCTGAGGGAGCAGGCTCCTTGGTGATACTGAAAGTGGAGCTATTTGGAGTGGGGTGAGGAGCTCAGGTTTGGTCTGATGAACAGGGAAGATAGTAAGGAGACAAAGTTACAGAAGAACTATCAGTGGGACTGGTTATGCCATTCCAGAAGTCCTGGGTGTGATTGTGAGGTGCAGAAGAGTCAAGGTGAAAGGCTGAAGCGACAAGGGAAGAGACCAGGACGATCTGTGATGAGCAGGGGAGGGCCTTTGAGAAAAGGGCAGTGGAGGTGCTGTATTCATCAATGAATAGAATTAGCACCATTGTAGCCTCTACTAAGGCTGGCAGAGGTGGGCAGAGGGCCATGTTTGTCAGAGCAGGCAGACGTAAATGCATTCCCAGCGGGCAAGTGCCAGGCCTGGATAAGGAAGAAGCTAAGCAGAGAGCACCCATCATCAGATCCATGGGGGCTGGTGATCAGGAGCAAGGATTCTAGGAACAGACCAGGAAGCAAAGTGTCAGGCAAGATGGAGTTGGCAAGTAGGCTATGGATCACCTTCCAGGTGCCTGAGTAGAGGGGTACCAAACCAGATCAGGCTGATGGAATAGGGGAGAGAAACTGGGGCTTGAGGCCAGTAGGGTGGGTTTCTATCTGGGTCTGATAAGAAAGTTGGCCAGGTCCCAGAAGGACTTAAGAAAAAATGACAAATGGATTGCTGATGTCATGGCTGAGCTTGCTTGGATGCTGGGGACCATTTTGATGCAATGTTTCCAGAGAATGGTACCTTCTGGGATGCTGTGGGGCCTAGGGTGATGGGAGCTTTTCTCCAGAAGCTTGGCAGTCGGGTCATTTCACACAGCTGACCTAAGAGCGTAGGGGTCCACCACAAGAAGTAAGCACTGCATCAGGAGTGAGGAGATATGGACCTCACTCTTGTCTCTGCAAGGACCTCTCTTGGAAGGGGACCCTGGTCCTGTCTGCTCTGCCATCCAGTCTCCCTAGTGGCATGGGTATGAGCAGGCCTCGGGGATCAGACCCATCCTCTGTGTCAGCCTGCCAGCCCCTGCCCCTGCCTCTGCTTTCAGCACTCACCACTGGCGTCATGCACCAGTCCCTCTTCATGTCAGCCTTGTCAGCCCACCCAGACCGTTCACTCTCTGTGTGCTGGGAGCAGCAGTGCAAGCTCCTGCCTGGAGTGGCAGGTATCTCAGCCTCAACAGTCGCCAAGTGGACCATCGATGAGGTGAGGCGTGAGGAGCCCTTTCTCTTCCCCTTCTTCTCCTTCTTTTCCTCCTCCTCCCCTGGTTCTCCCTCTCACCACACCCCATGGGAGGGCTCAGGAGAGGCCCACCTCTGGCAGAGCTTAACACTACTCCTGACACTATCCCCTGCTCATCTCTGCTGTCCAGTTTCTTCTAGCTGCCCAGTGTGGGCTTATGGGTCCATCCCGGTGGGTGGGGAGTGAGAGAGATGTGCTTCAGCCTCGGGGCCTCAGGATCAAGGACCATACCTTGACACCCAGCAGCACAGGGACACTGGATCCTCTTAGGCTGATAAGAAAAAACAACATTCTTGCAGCTCAGAAGGCACTGAGGCCATGTAGACTGGCCTTTTCCCTACACTTCCAAATCTCCATCCCCTTGTCAACATATCTTCTTTGATTTCCAAGGTCTTCGGCTTTGTTCAGACTCTGACAGGTTGTGAGGACCAAGCACGACTCTTCAAAGATGAGGTAAGGTGCACATGCAGTGTGGGAGACTGAGAAGGGGTCACTGTGTCCCCCCAGTACGTCCCCTGGCTAGGGAAGAGGCCTCTGTTGACCCACTGGGATGAGACTAGTCACAGTGACCCACATTTCTGAAGAAACATCTGGTATGGCCCGTGGCTTGGAGAGCTGGGGAACCCTCTGTGTTCAGACCATCCTTAGGAAGGTCATCAGGATCCTGTTCATTCTGCTGCTCTCTGGCCCAATCTTGTGTTTCCAAACTTAGCTTCAGCATTGACAGTCACTAAAGTAAAGCATGGGAGCTCTGGTAGCATAGTGGCTAAGACACTTGCCTGCTAACCAGACGGCTGGCGGTTCAAACCCACCAGCCACTCCTCGGAAGGAAGGTTGGGCAATCCTACTTCCGTAGTGATACTGCCTCGGAAACCCAAGGAGGGGTCGCTATGAGTCGGGGCCGACTCGACGGCACATAACAACAACAACAACAACAAAGTAAAGCATATTGTGAATGGTACAGGTATTGTTACTTGCTGCAAGGATCCTAACAGACTTCAAATCAAGACCCAGGAACTTACCAAAGATAAGAAGCAGTGAGTTGTAGATAAAAGAATGCTAGCTTTAGAGAGTGTGGGTTTAAATCCTAGGTCTACCAGTTTGAGCCATTTACTGTCCCTGAGTCTGGGCATTTTCTTATCTGTAAAGTAGAAACTTAAGGAACCTTGGTAGGGCAAAGGTTAAGTACACACTCAGTTGCTAACCAAAAGGTTGGCAGTTTGAACCCACCCAGCGGTTCCTCAGGAGAAAGATCTGATCGTCGTCTTCTGTAGATTACAGCCAAGAAAAGCCTAGAGACAATTCTAGTCTGTCACGTGGGGTTGCTGTGAGTTGAAATTGACTCTGTGGCACCTAACAACAACAAAGTGGAGGTAAAATGGATATAGTAATGACTACCTCCCAGAGCCACTGTGAAGCTTAAAAATGATAATATGTTATTGTATCAGAATATCTGGTATAATTATATCACTACTGTATATATTAATACACAGCAAAAAAGTACACAACAACATATCATATCACTGTATAACAAATAATAATATTTATCACATCATAATGAGATGTGATGGGGCCTGAGGTAGGTGGGCCCGGGTATTGTGGGCTGCTTTTTGCTTGGGTATGGCTCTTTATTAAGGCCAGGGCCTGAGGTAGGCTGGCCTGGGGCTTGGAGGCTGCTTTTCACTTGGGAGTGGCTCTATTTTAAGGCCAGGGCTTGATATAGGTGGGCTGGGAGCTGCTTTTCACTTGGTTGTGGTTCTATATTAAGGCCCAGCCCCAAGACAGGTGGACCTGGGGGCTTGGAGGCTGCTTTTCGTTTGAGGGCAGTTCTGTTTTAAGGCTGGGGCCCAAGGTAGGTGGGCCAAGAATTGGGGGCTGCTTTTTGCTTGTGGGTGGCTCTATTTTAAGGCCGTTGCCTGAGGTAGGCAGGTGCAGAGGGGTTAGGAGCAACTAAGGGAGACGAACTTGTCTGTAAGTTTGTTGTCCTGTGGTGGCTACATGTTGCTATGAGGCTGGAGGCTATGCCACCGTGTTGCAAAATTCCAGCAGGGTTACCCATGGTGGGCAGGTTTCAGCGGAGCTTCCAGGCTAAGACAGACTCAGGAGAAGGAGAAGACCATCCACTTCTCTAAGAATTGGCCAGTGAAAACCTTATGAATAGCAGTAAAACACTGTCTGGTGTATTACTGGAAAACGTTATGAATAGCCCTGAAATATGTCCGATATAGTGCCAGAAAATGAGCCCATCAGGTTGTAAGGCACTCAAAATTTGACTGGGGAAGAGCTGACTCCTCAGAGTAGCGATGACTTTAATGATATGGATAGAGTAAAGCTTTTGGGACCTCCGTTGGCTGATGTGGCACGACTCAAAATGAGTAGAAACAGATGCAAACATCCATTAATAATTGGAACATGGAACATATAAAGTATGAATCTAGGAAAACTGGAAGTTGTAAAAAATGAACTGGAACACAAAAAGATTGATGTTCTAGGCATTAGTGAGCTGAAATGGACTGGTTTTGGCCATTTTGAATTGGACAACCGTATGATGTACTATGCCAGGCATGACAAATTGAAGAGGAATGGTGTGGCATTCATCATCACAAAGAGTGTTTCAAGATCTGTCCTGAAGTACATCACTGTCAGTGATAGGATAATATCCATATGCCTACAAGGAAGACCAGTTAATACTACTATTATTGAAATTCACCAACCACCAAAGCCAAAGATGAGGAAATTGAAGATTTTTACCAACTTTTGCAGTCTGAAATTGACCAAACATGCAATCAAAATGTGTTAATTATCACTGGTGACTGGAATGCAAAAGTTGAAAACAAAGAAGAGTTACTGGTAGTTGGAAAATATGATGACAGAAATAATGCTGGAGATTGCATGATAGAATTTTGCAAGACCAATGACTTATTCATTGAAGATACCTTTTTTCAACACCATAAGCAACGACTATACATGTGGACTTCACCAGATGGAGTACACATGAATCAGATTGACTATATCTGTGGCAGGAGACGATGGAGAAGTTCAGTATCTTTGGCCAAAACAAGGGCAGGAGCTGATTGTGGAACAGACCATCAACTGCTCATATGCAAGTTCAGGTTGAAGTTGAAGACAATTAAACAAGTCCATGAGAACCAAAATATGACCTTGAAAATACCTCTCCTGAATTTAGAGACCTTTTACAGAATAGATTTGATGTATTGAACACCAGTGACCAAAACCAGAGGAATTGTGGGATGACATCAAGAACATCATACATGAAGAAAGCAAGAGGTAATTAAAAAGATAAGAAAGGAAGAAAAGAGAGACTTCTAGTAAGATGGAGGAATAGGCAGACAAGCAACACAGACTCTCTTCAACAAAGAAAGGAAAAACCAATTGACAGAGATACAGAAGATAATCCTGGAGCCCTGAGCTTTGAAAGGAACTATACAGAAGTGGGAGAGCTCTGGTAGCGTAGTGCCTAAGGCACTTGACTGCTAACCAGAAGGCTGGTGGTTCAAACCCACCAGCCACTCCTCAGAAGGAAGATG